GCACCGAACACCAGGTAAAACACAGGGGAGAGGAACAAAAAAAAAAGAATGGTGGGCGCGGATGTAGGCGGTAGGACAGACGAGGAGGGGGCGGGGAAAGAAACCCCGATAGGTGGGGGGGGGGGGGGGGGGGGGGAGGGTATTATCTTTTGGAAATAAAGAGAAAAATAGTAAAAGTTAAAATAAAAAATAAAGACATAAAAATTAAAGAAGCAAAGAGTGCGAATAAGAGGAAAAGATGGAGATCAAGAAAAACGGTCGATGTGAGAGAGAGAGAGAGAAAGAGAAAGAGAGAAGGGCTCGTTAGAGGCATGAGGGGCGCCATATGGGTTAGTAAATTTAACTCTGCTCGCGAGAAAGCTACGGAGAGCGAGAGAAGAGAGCGAGAGAGAGAAAGAGCGAAGACACGAGTACGTGGGAAGTATGCAGAGGCGCAAAAGGCCCCGGCCATCTGCTGTCGGCGCGGCGGCCCTGCAAGAACGGCGGTCTCATAGTCAGAACTATAGTCAGAAACGCACGAGCACCGATACGAGAGGATTGACGTGCGCCCAAAGATGCTGTACATTGGCGTGTAACACGTCAGTGACCTAAATGCACATCAATCTGTTTGTGGAAACGTGAGGAAAATTTATGGAATAAATTAAAAATAACGTGCTACTTGTAAACTACAAGTATGAACTTACACAATAAGTAAGATTGTCTTGAAGCCTTGCGAATTAAATAAATATTTCATGAATCGTATAAATCTCATTACATTACACACATCTTGAAAATCTTTATATAATTTCGTCATACATAACGAATAAAATCATGTAACAAATGTCCTTCCTCGCTTATCGATAACATCGATTTCTTTCTACTTTTTTTCTAGGTATATAAAATGTAAAATGAATTACAAATATCTTTATACTTTGACATCGAAATGTTAATTCGCCGTTTAATTCAATTTTTATCGATTATCTATGCACTTTTATTCGCACTCTTTGCTTTCAAATTTCGGCGCCTATGACAGTAGTCAAAACATCATCTTTAACAGCAAACAGTATCAACAACAGTAGGAGGGAAAGACAAGTGCTACTCTCTCCTTGTTCTCTCTTTTTCTCTGCGGTATCTGCCTCCTCTTTTTCCCTCCCCCCTTCCCATCCATCCATCTATCTCGCTCTTTCATTTGAGCTGCACCGACGCAACGGCTGCGTGCGCATGCACGCGTGCAAGCGACGTCGGCAGCACGCGTCGTACGTGCCACGCAAACGCAACCCCTATATACACGCGCTCACTGTGTTTTTCTTTCTTTCTCTCTCATTCCTTCAACACAATCAACCTGTCCGTACGCCACAGCGATCTCGTTGCCAATGTGCGCGCGAAAGTAGGAAGGGAAAAAGCAGATGCGAGAGAGTGCGTCGATCCTGCACGTTCGCAGCGGCCGACTGCCGAGGCGTGTTGCGCGCACGCGAAAGAATTAAAGAATGGATGGTGAAAAAGCATCGGCAGTTTCCCCCTTTTCATTAATTGCGCGCGTCAAGCGAGGCAGAAATCAAAGTCGTTGAGAATGAGAACAACTGCCGACCTGTTGCAAATGCAACGCGACCGGCGACGCGTGCAACGACGCACGCACTTCCCATACGTATCGCGCGCCCATCAAAATTATTTACATCGCTATGATGAACAGCCGATTCGAGTTGTAAACACTGCACGCAAACGTATTTTAAATCCACTCGTTTATTTTAAAATTCATACCGTCATATCTGTAGTATTTCTATCTATTTTTAATGAAATACCCAGACTTCATCAAGACAAAATGTGATTGATCATTTCATATAACGGTGTATCGTATCTCTAATATTGTAATCTCGATATGTATGACGTGACCTTCGAAAGAACAAAATGAACAGGTTTTTTAGTCTCGAAATTTATTGCAAATAATTTCCGTACAAATTGCTCGATTATACGAGACGAGAGCGGGAAGGTTGAATAATTGTATTTTTCGTTTTATGCGAGATAGCAGCGCGATGTATTACAAAAGGGCGGTGACTTCGACTTTGTCCACGCGTTAACTCAAGATCTCTTCGCGATCCCCGCACGCGAATTCCGCGTGTTCCTTATCTTCGTCTTCTTCCGGTGTTTACTGGAAATGAGTTAGATAATTCGCGTGCACTCTCTTGTTCGATTAGCATCCGTGACGTTAAACGGATGGATAAAAACATTGTTCTTTTCCACGCACTCGAGTTTGCACTGCATCGTTTTCACATCTTCACGGTCTAATTTCGGTATCGCTTAAATATTAATAATTCGCTTAAAAATTTTCCCATTTATTAGATTAGAAACGTGCGTATCAATTACAAAATAATGCGTGTCTGTTTTATATAATAAATCATTACGAAATTATTTATACTTGCTAAAAAGTTTGCATTACTAATGATTGAAAGAAATCTCTGAAGTTGTCCTTTAATTGTATAACGCATCAGAGCTATTTAGGGAGTGTGGACATTTGCAGAAAAATGTGGTGTATGATGTTGCATAAGCGATATATGTGGTTTTCATTCTTTTTGTAACTGTATGTTTTATAAGTTATGCACCGCCGCCGGTGCGACGTTATATAGGACATACTGTACTTGTTATCTATCACCACACGGTCGTCAACATTTCTTACTTCCCACATCGAAACGTTTATGCTAATCGAAGGCTTCGGCAAAAAAATCTCCAGCGCATGCACGACTCTCGTAAGTTATCGTGCATCAACGTGCATCGTCTCTCATGAGAGCTTAATAATTCAATAATAATGTTGAGTGTTGAACTTATCCTATGCGAATATGTTGCTCGATGTTAGTGTTAAATATGCAAGTTGTTTTGCCACAACAAAACTTATATATATATATCAGCCATAGAAAATTTAATAGATTTCTGAATAAAACATTTGCTGGATTATGAAAATAATTTTCTGTTATCTTTTTAATTTTGCAAGCATTAAACATCATTTTAAATTAATATCCTTCCATTAATAACCGAAATTTCGATTATAACGAAAGCTTTATTTACTTAGACATTTGAAGTAAATCTAAAACAAATGTCAAAATAATAAACACGCTGTGGAATGTAAATAATAAACACAAAATCTAGAATTTAGAACGTAAAGGACTTACCGGCCATGTGAACTCGAACGGGAACCTGATGGGGTTGGTGAAGCTCGGCAAAGCGACGTTCGTGCTGAGATTAATTCTGTTCTCGCCGAGAATGGGCGTTACAACGTCGCCATACGTGCACGGCGACGTCGTGTCGATCTTCACCTGGTACTGCTTCAGGCATACTCGAAACCTCGTCTTACAGACCCCCGAGCATTCGCCTGTCTTGGACGCGCTGCCGGAACAGCATTTGCCCAGATTGTCCTTGCCGAACTCGTTCACGAAGGACTTTAGCCTCAGCTCAAACACCCCGGAGGCGTTCACCTGTAAAACACGTGCGTTTTACTTCTTCAACAGGGCACACGCAAATCAGTGCTCGTTATTTCAGCTTGTCGATACAACGAAATTTTCCAAAGCTAATGACAAACTAAAACCATGAATATTAAAGACCGAAATTGATTTTAAATTGATATTAAAAATATTTGAAATTGTCAAATCACTAAACGTCAATTTTAAACAAAAATTTATTTTTTTATTTATGAGCGATAAAAGTTTATAATTATTATGTATTGAAAATGTGAAGAATTATTATAATGATTTACATAAAATATATGAATAATAAAAAATAAAAAATTTGCAAACATTAAAATACATAGCCTGTCAAATTTTTGATCATATATTACGATATAAATCGCAAATATTGGAAATCACGAAAATATTGTTCTTCGGGGAGGTCGTCGAATATGACAGAGCACTCTGACAGTCGTTTTAATAGCTATAACGCGTGCAAGCGTAAAATGTTTTTAATAACGGTAGTTTTGGTCCACAGTTGGCGACGAATCATGAGACACACGAAAAAAGAAGCTGGTATCAAACGAAGCTCTCTCTTTTTCTCCATCTACGAGACGGGAGATATCTTGTGCCCCATGATGTGAAACGCCGCAGGAGCACGTGTGCGTTCACGTTTTTGCGAACGCGTGTCACGCACGTCTCCCAGGAGGAGAGAAGCCGGGTTTCAATGTAACAAAAACCACGCACTCTCTCTCTCTCTCTCTCTCTCTCTCTCTCTCTCTCTCCCCCTCTCCTTCTCTCGTTCGTTGCAAGAGACGTATCTCAAGAGATATACCGTTCATCGCCACGCTTCACCATTATAATCGAATTACGAAAATACGCCACGATTTATCGCAGATTTTACGATTTTGGTTTTTGTCCGCGTCAAATAAAGTTGAACTTGGTTTATTTAGTCTCTCTCTCGCTCTTGTCTTTAGAATGTTACGATCAATAAATTTTCAAGTGTTCAAAAACTATTATTATAATATTTATAATCTTTATTAAATTTTTATTATATTTCAAACACCAAAATGTGTTTTTTTTTTTTATTTATTTGAATATAGATATCACTTTGCTGAGTAAAGAAGAAAGTTGAAAATGAAAATTTTTCTTTACCACTTAACGAATTACCAGAGCGCTATTATTAAAGCCAACGGATATTTCTTTTCGAAACATGTGGATGCAAATCGTCTGCAAAAAGAGGCTGGCCGACCAAGCTCGTAAATGCATCAACGCTCTAGTTGGCTCGCGAAGCGCTGCTTAACGAAATTACCGAGTAGAGACCCGGCTCGAAGTGCAAAGCGAAAAACGGCGAGTCGATTAGCGGGTTTTTCGGCGACGTAAAATTATTGCCGGTGATTAACTACTAGCGCGCTCATCACGTCGTCAAGTCGCGACTTTGCCTTACCGATCGAACGCAAGATACAGCCTTTATATTTGCATCGTCATTATCCAATATAAAAATATACGTAATAAAGAAATAATTGCTAAAGGAAAAAAAAAACATAGCCAAGGTTTAACGATTCCTTCGATACGTCAATATCGTCGTGATATGTCGAGCAAACAGTGCCAACGTCAGATACATATTTTTCCTATCCTGGTCGTCGCGACGCCAAGAACGCTGTGTTCGCAGACACGTGTGTTGTGTGTGTGTGTGTGTGTGTGTGTGTGTGTGTGTCTGTGTTATGTATACACGAGCGCGCACACGAATGCGCTTCTGAACGAAGCTTCCCACGAGATATTGTATAGCCGAGAGCGAACGGTAAGTTCTTTAGCGAGGTCCGAACGACGAGCTCGCGGCATTAGATTTCCTTTATCGAACTCCCACAGTCTCGCGCTCGCGTATTTCGCACGCATCGATTACGCACGTCATTAGCAACAACGTCATTTGTCATCGGGAAATGGAGTAAGCGACACAATCATGAGCGCCAGGTAGTTTCCATCAGCTGACATCCAGACATATGGATAGTGTCGTCGGGTACAAAAATTCTTAAATTCTTTCTGTATATTTTTCATGTACATTTGATATTATACATAGTCGTGATCGACAAAGATCCCGTCACGTCACAAGTTCGGAAAATAAGTTACTCTGCACGACCTCGTGAGATAAAAATAAAATGTTCATTCGCGGACTGTACTGCGAAGAAACCGAACAATTCTCGCCGCATCAGTATTTAAAAAAAATAAATAAATAAAAGAATGAATAATGCATTTACATTGATATACGTACGATTTACCTCGCATTCAACGCAAATGCGGCTACCTGATCCCTGGCTTTATTTACTTAAACATAAACGTCGTGTTCGATGTCAGACAAGCGCCCTTAGACATAAGAACGATCCTTTGTTGCCAATCACTATCGCGCATTGCGTTTGAAGCGGGACACTCGATGCAATTGCGTGTACTCGTCGGGATCCGTCCCGTTAGTTCGCATCTTGCGAAAGTAAATGATTAAAAACAAATAAGCGGTAAGTGTACGCATCACACACACACACACACATTCACAGGGTTGTACCTACGTATAACGCACTCACACATACCTCACGCACCTCGGCGCTGCCCTCACGATGAGGAATCTCATTTTTGGCGCGCTGGAAAGTTATTCTGGGAACGGAGAATGGCTGCCACGCGTATTTACGGATACATACGGCACCGACGATGCGTTTCGTCACACACAAAACGATTTTCGCCGTCCGGGCCACCCTTCAGACGTCTTTGAGGCGTGTCTCCTTGAAGAAGCAACAATCGCAACACCCGATGCACACCTCACTATCGTGTCGGACAACAAAGGACTCTACCACTCGTCAACTCGATTAACAGGATTTTTGCAAAGATCTTCCGCGAAAGATCGAAAATAGGTAAATAGGTAAATCGAGAGACGAGTCTAAGGCGGTTTGAGATCATCGCTAGTCGCAACATCGGCGAGAGAAGAGGAACAAATATAAAGGGAGAAGAAGAGAGAGAAGTGGGGCTAGACACTTCTAAAAGAGTGCATCCAGATTTAGAGTTGGGTGCACACCACGCCATTAGGGGCTTCAGATAGTAAGAGAAAACTTTTCGAATGGTGAAAGAAAATTGTAGAAAAGAGATTCTGAAAATGAGTATATTGAGAGAATTGCGTGCAATATGAATGAATAATTACGGGATGATAAAATTAATAAATCTGTCAACGTAGAGTAGAACAATATTAATGAATAAAAAAGGGAAAGGGGGATGGAAAATAATTTTTTTACTGCCAAGTATAAATACGACATAATTATTTGTTAGTAAAATACGTATATGCTGTTGATTAAATTCAGTTCTAGAAAAATCGACGATTTTAAAAGGAAAGTCGATTTTGCTATAATCAAAGCTGTAGGCAACGCTAAGAGATAAGCACGAAGGTAGTTGAGCTCACGAACGCGAAGGATCGTAGCAGACTGGGAAAGGGGAAGCCGAGGAGACATCTCTCCCAGGAAGAATTCCCTTGGAATCCGTGCGGAGAGAAGAAACCGAGAGAAGAAACGGGCCGTATAATACGCGAAATGCATCGCTCGTCGCATTCGGAATCGCTCGTTTAAGAGAGGCTATGTAACATAAAAAAAACTTGAATTGCGAAGTACTAAAGAAAGAAAGCAAGAAAAAAAGAAAGTCAGTTTCTCAATTCCGCGACTGTCAAACGCAATAGAAGCTTGACAAGTACGAGAGACGCACGACCGCGATAATTTGCAACTAAATAAACCAAGAAATTTAACGTTTTATTTTCACGCGTAAAAATGTCGGAGTCGTGAGAAAAGCGTTTCCCACGGTACCAAACTGATTTATTCGTCGAATTATTTTATTCGTCTTGCGTATGTCGCGTTCGAATCAACCCGAATTGGTTCAAATTGTAACAATTTGGATTTATAATTAAGAGCCATATTTTTGAAAAATATCGTGTACGAAAATACTACAGTATACATTACAGTATATTATAGATTTTTTTTTGTATACTGAGAAAAAGATTTTAATTGAGCCAACAAAAAACTTAACAAGATTAGCATTTTTGTGAGATTGAACAGACTTTCTGATTATGATTTCTTGTTGGATCCTTTTATTAGTTTAATTAGAACATTTTTTTTAGTGTAATATTCCGTATGCAATTTTTTTCAAGAAAAGCTCCAAAAAGCAAGTCATTCACCGTTCGTCGAATAGAATTAGCGGATTAAAGTTAAATATTATAGAATATAAATTTGAAATCAGCTTTCTTCGTATCTTTTCTCTGCTAGATGCGGGATTACGTAGAAATTCATCGGGTAATTTTAATCGCGTTGCGTCGCTTAGAATCACAATTACGCAAGTACGCGACCGAGTCTCGAACGTATTATGGATCATTATAAAAGGCGAGCCGATTACATCGAGTCTATTCCAATCTTTCGCATCTTGCGATGCCTTCCCTTTTCCCGCGTATATTAATAACAATGCCAATCTCTCTCTCTCTCTCACTATACGAACTAAAATGTAGCGTATACGTATACCTGCATACGAGACGTTTAGTTCGGGGGCCGAATATCGCCGAACCAAACTCATTCATCGAATCACGATGGCCCAAGGTCGATAATTCGACACACAAGTTGAAAAATTCCTCTCTGATATCTAGTAATTACAACAACACGTGACGACGTGTATTACGACTATTTTTGGAATTTAATACATTCGTTTTAAACTAGCCGTCGAGCAGCCTTCTTTCCGTTAAGTAATTAAAAATTATATATATTATTTTTAATATAATAAACTATTGCTTTTAATTGAATAACAGTTAAACCGGATAATCCCTTCATTTGTGTACAACGATGTAATTTCGAGGAACGCGCGTATTCCTGTCATTTCTGGGAATCAGATGTTGACTGTAGTATGTGTGTGAACATGTGTGTATATGTGTGTGTATGTGTGTGTATATATATATATGTGTGTGTGTGTGTGTACATCTCTCGTGTTTTACGGCAACCTTGGCACCCGGCAATAGTGGTAACGTTAATGTCCGTCAGATATATATGGTTTCTCATTAACGCTACTAGATTCGGATTTCCCTCGAATCTTGCGGTGACAAAAACGGAGAATCAAACTAAAGAGAAGTCTGTTTTCTGTCACCGAACCAATATACACTTTTGAAAAGTGAGATAGGTATATGTTTGTGATATTTGGCAAGAGCGAGAGAGTTCTAGCGCAGTTTAACGCAAGACTAAGATCCGTTCTTTTTAACTGAACTTGTTGCACAGCTCATATTTTCATTTTCTCTTTTTCTCTCCAACATGGAAAAGAAAAAAAGAAAAAAGAGAAATAACGAAGAACGGACCTTTTAGGAAGTGGTTGAACATTGGCGAGTTTAAATGCTCGCCGACGGCGAGGTCGAGAGGAAGGAAGAGATGTATATAATCGTAGGACTTGTAATAAACAGGGACTTACCGCTCGAGGCGTCGGCAGGAGAACGACGGCGGCCGTCCACACGAGCATCGTGGTCCACATGTTGACGCGTCGCGTATCCCTCGGTGTTTACACGCCGCCGGCGCTTCCCGGGTGACGGCGGAAGCGCGGATGTGAGAGCGGCAATCCACGCGCGCTCCGCTCGGTATCGTCGCGTCTTCCCGTCGGCGTTACCTGCGTCTCGCCGCGATACCGCGGGGCTGCTGCATAGCCACGAACCGCGTGTACCGGGGTGAGCTCTCGATGAATGCGAGCCGTCGCTGGGCGAACGAACGAGCGAACGGAACAACGAAGGAGCGCGCGAACGACGAGTGGTACTCGCGCCGTGCGAAACCGCGGCTAAATTCAACTCGCTTACCACTGTGCACTCCGTACGCGGACGAATTATATTATTTATTTCGACCGGTATTTATACGTACGAACGAGATTTTAATATCGCACGCGGACGTTTTCACTTTTTACACACTTGCCGGTGACACACTTTATTCCAGTATATCCGTGGGACGACAGACGCTGAGAGAGGCTGAGAGGCTCGCCGGGTGGGAACGACGACGATCGCGTCCGTGTATCTAGGTGGTGTAACGAAGCCAAGGATAATCTTTCTTTTTCTCACGATGACGTCGTGGATCTCTTCTCGCTTCTTTCTTTTTTATATACGAGTCACAATCAACCCGTCGCGATCATACTTCCCAAATCCAACTTTGGGGAGCACTGACGGAACGACAAACTGCGCTCTCGTCCTCACCAATCGTCGCAACAACGACGAGTCACGCACTGATCGGCCGTAGTCGCGCCGCGAGGAATACTCCCTCCGGTAACGGAGAAGGGCGCCGAAGTAGGACCGATGGGGGAGAAATGGAGAGGGGAGACAAGAGGGTCCGATGGTGGGGGCAGTCACCGTCGTGGTCGTGGTCGTGATAGAGGTTGGTAGAGGTGGACTGATGGAGCCAAGGATACTCGTACGGCTCGTGCGTGTATATTATGTATATATACGTGCGTGTATATGTGTGTGAGAGGCCAGTCGAAGATGAACGAGAAAGTCAATGTGCCCGTCGCACGGCGGAAGGGGCCCTCCTTCTTCTCCGTACCACCCGGATAGGGATAAGGGAAGGGGGAGAAAAGGGCCGGACAGACGGGGTGGAATGAGGAGCCTGGAGCGGAGACTCTTCGCCGACGATAACGACGACGAGGGTGCCGGCGACGAGAAACCCCGCTTCGAGATCGAACTTGGTACCGATTGTCGTGGCCGGCGAAATGCTTAATGCAAAAAGTATCAAAGTTCAGAAGGGATGCATTCGTGCAGACGCAAAGTCACTTCGCTGGTCACCACAGTGAATCGTCTCTCCACTCCCTGAACGTTTCACTCCTGTCTCTCTTCTATCCCTCTCTCTCGCTCTCTGCTCACCAAAAAGATGTACGTTCACCTCCTTTTTTTTTCCTTCACCATATATACGCGCCACTGACCGGCTGCACTAACGCCACACCGCGGCACTCTCGACAACTACCGATAACCGCAGAGGCAACTGTATCGGCGCGGACTCAACGACAGATGGCGATCTCTCGTGCGCGCTGCTTGCCTCTCCGCGAGAGAAAGAGAGATTTGTACATCCGTCCTCCTCTCAGCAGCGGGAACTACTACCGTTTCTATTCCTACGTTAATATGTATATATATATATATATATATATGCGTTTTCTCTCACACACACGTGCGTGTGCGGGATGGCGGGGTGAGTGACGAGTGGTCGCGCGCGCGCGCGTGCTCGTCACGGAGTACAGCCCTCGACTGGAGGTAGCAAGGGCCGGTGGCGCGGTTCGGCGGGCTAGAGGGCTGCGAGGGGAGCCGGGATCGTATATACGTATATACGTACGGGAGGGAGCGCGCGGCAGCGGGCCGTCGCATCAGGGGGGGAAAAAGGGGCGAAGGGGGCGACGCGAGAAGGCAGCTGCAGGCCGGCTGCACGCGCCCACCCCCACCACCGCGCACGTAGCGTAGCGTAGCCCCTGTGTACGACACCCTAACCACTCGTGAGTCGTGCGGACTTCTTGCCTGCCTGTCTGCTCGCTCGCTCCCTCGTTTAGCCGCTCGCTAGCGGACACCTCGGGGCGCCTGCCCCCTGCCTGCACCCCCTCCCCCCTCCTCCTCTCCCAGCTTTCCCGCAGCCCCACGTCCACTGTGTTGGTACAGCTCGCGATCGTTTCCCTCCTGACCCCTCCACCTTGAACGCCACGATAATTCGTACCCCATCTACGAAACTGGCGGCACGCGCCGGGTGCCACCACCTCGCGCGTGACGTCATACCCTTCTTTTTAAGAGTGTTACGTTTCTTACGCACACGCGAGCGAGCCGGCGTACATGCGTACCGGCGTACCGGCGTACATGCGTACGTGAAGACGAGGGACGTGCGTAGCGTGCGTCTGGCTGGTTTCGCACGTCGTCGAGCTGCGGATTATTCGCGAATGATGCGGCGGACGCCGAGAGCTGAGGGGTGGGCGCGAAAGATCACTTTGCGTTTACCCAAGTAAAATGCGTCATAATGGATGATTGTGATGAATGAATGTAGGGACGGCGGAAAATTGCTACGCGTTTCTCTAGGATTAATTGCAGCATTGTTGCAGCGGAATGATTTACGGAACCGTTTACGCACCGATTTACTTTCTTATTTGTGTAGATTTGCAGATATGTACAAATTGTATGCAATGAATCTAATAAATAAAGAGTAAATAATTGAATGAAATATATATGCATTATTTGTATAGAGAGACAAGTGTATAATGAAAGAATTGAGAACTTGAGTAGACTGAACTGCAACATATATCCAAATTGCCGGTATAATTATGTCGCGCGCGAGACTGAGTGCACCTGCAACTTATCGAAACGCATAATGTCTTGCAAAAATATTTAAACCTAATTTGCCAGCCTGATATCTCGCGCATATGACCAGGAGACATTTTACCAACCTTCATAGCACGATATACGTCAGAATAAATTTGATAAATCAGCTAATGAAATTCCGCAAGAAGTTATATACATGAAGGATTTTTTAATCAAGCGCTTATTATGTACTTAATTATTCGGATGGATTCCGATTAGAATTATTCCTTATTATTCCTAAAAAATTATTCCTAAATTTCTATTATGTTCTCTAGAGAAAACAAAATAATTTCAATTTAATCTATTCCAAATAATTCTATAATACGAACCATCAATATATATTATATTAATTTTGCGTTTACGGTCTTGATTGTCAATTGATTTTCTCGATAAAAATATCTACGTGAATGATAAATGCTAATTGAATTACTAATATTAAAATAAAATATACACCAAGTGAAATATAATTATGGAATTGATCGCATGATCTTTATTGGGAATCAAATATAGAAGTTATATTTTTTGTGAATAAATTCAAACTCCATAGCACGAACTGCATGAAATAACGACTTTCAACGAAATTCGCGTGGTGGCTCCCTAATCTGGATATTTGCCAACTGCCCTAATTCAAGGGTTCACTTTCCTAATGCCATATAACGTTCGGCACACATCGAGGCAGCGATTGAGCGTCATCTGTGTTTCTTCCTTTTCATTTTTCGACTTCAGCGTATCAACGAACGTCCCGATTCGTGAATGTTGAGTTAAAAAAAATTAAAAATAATTTCACTATTTCTATTCATTTCGCTGTTTTACGACACCAAGTCAAGACTAAAATTTAATATATTATAATTAATAACAATTTTTGTTTTAATACAAAGTAGATTAAATAAAGAGGGAGAGAAAAAGAAAAAGAGAAAGTAAATTCTTGTTTATTTTCTCTTAATACAATTAGGTCACTTGTATTCTACATATTTCTATTCTTTGAAATATTATGACGCTACAATCACTTGGCTAAATAATAATAGTCTCTACTTATATTTTCTTTAAAAATAAATAAGAGTTAGATAAGGCTAATGAGAGTCATACGCTGTTGTAAGATCGGAGAAAAGAAGCAGATAATCCTCAGATGTTGTTGATTATTTTCAATTTATTTCATTTTTTTTTGTTAGTTATCTTCAATTTATTTTGAACGTTTCAGCTCCATGTATAACATTGATAAAAAAGTTATATTGTATAATATATATACAATATATCATCTTCTGACTAAAAATTCGTGTATGTGCGACATGATGTGTCATTTAAAATTGAAACGTTACAAAGTGACAACAAGCATTGAAAATAAATACAAATGATACTAAGAGTATTCAATGCTTGTTGTCACTTTGTAACGTTTCAATTTTAAATGACACATCATGTCGCACATACACGAATTTTTCAATTAATATAGCAAGGTTTATTTAATATTTAATAACGTTTAATAAAACTAAATAAAAAATGAACATGTCTGCCTATCACAATCAAGCTTCAAATATATATATATAGGTAACATACACTGTATAACAGTAAAGCTTTCGTAATCACAATAAATATATGGCTCTTATTTCAGTCTTATCAGAAAAAAATTGAAATTAAAAACAACTTTGGATTGCAATCGCTTAAACAAACTTATAGAATAACTAGGTTTTGGTAAAATTGATTTTATTTTATTTATATACCTCAAATATCAGAAATAAGGAGATGAGTGAAAAAGATGAACTTATCACTGTTAAGTAAGATATTTCCAGATTGTCACTATCTGCTCACAAGTGTCGATAAATACCACAAGGGCTACAGAAATTTATTCCAGAACTTCAAAAATTTTGTTACGTATATCAGAAGCACGAAAAAGGAATAAATATACTACCATAAACAACACTTTACTAGACGCTTTTTATTAATATTAAAATTATTGCGTCCAACTGTTACATAAATTTACCTAATTTTGGTGAACTTAGAACTTTAGAGAATAAGACACGACATATTTTCTAGCAGCGCTACCGTCTTATCAGTAAATTATTTTGAAGTTTTTTTCTTTCACATGTGGTTGGTAATGGAACCGAATAAATAACAGGAGGCGATGTTTTGTAATTATGTCCCTCTGTCACTTACTACCCCACCCTCCCTTACGAAACATGAATGATTGTTGTATACTTGTAAAAGTGATGAAAATTAATTCTTTTATTACAAACAATTAATCCATCGTATGTAGTAAAGAATCGGAAAAATCATCATATTATAACAATTAAAAACTAATTCGCCAAAGCACCATTATACTATAAATAAAAAACTATTTTCAACATCTTTGTAGACATACGGAAGCTCATCAATGATATGTTCTTTTTCGCATCTGACAGAAGAGCAACTCAAATTCTTCATTTTATGTTTCTCTCTCTCTCTCTCTCTCTCTCTCTCTCTCTCTCTCTCTCTCTTTCGCTTCTTTCTTCTTTGCCTCCCTTTTACAGTATGACATGTTTGTGTTTTATGACAAGACTGCGCATATATAATATGAAATGCACGTACGTATGTACACTTGCTTTGCTATTTTTCTGACACTCTTCCCTAGCGAGTTTATGCTACGCCAAAGTGACGTCACTCGTTGCAGAACCGACGGATGGGGTGCGGCGAATCCCCATCTCTCTCCCTTTCTCTCTCTCTCTCTCTCTCTCTCTCTCTCTTTCTCTCTTGGCCGAAGGGCTCGTATTATGCAGCATACGCATCGGTGCTATATGGGGTGACAGATTATTATAGCGCACATACTGCTCCCCGGCTGCAGGCATTGTGCCGGGGATACAATGCCTGGACCTGTTTCAGCCACGCATCCGTTCCTTATTGTTAGTACAGAATCCCTCCAGCTCACCCCTATCTCACCTCCATCCAAATTTCGCAGGCCTGCGTGCTCTGCCAAGTGTTGCGCAGCCGTCGCAGCTAATAAATCTGCATCGCTATTAAGAATACTACCTTGGCTGTTTACTGCCCTTTCAAAGAGATTTGTATTCTTATTAAAATTGATTAATCAGGGATCAAGGATCTCTTTTGATTTTTTACTGAATATAAATAAAGTAATAATCATGCAAATTTAAAACTAAAAATCGCCACAAATTCAAGTATAGAATAAAATTAATTACATCGTGTGTGTTAAAACCTGTGATATGTTATGATAAAAATAGATTAAAAATAACAGAGAAGGAACACAGAATCACGTAGATTGGCGTAGGAACAAAGCCACTATCATCGGTCGGTGTAAAATTACAACCGATAAAAAAATCACAGTCGTGTAATCAGGTAAACAACGTGGTGATAAGTTGTCCGTACGCAGAAAGAAGCCTTTGTTGTTTTCCTCAGCACGTTGTGTATCGAGAGAAGAACTGGGAGTGAAGGAGAGTAGTGGCACCGCCACGGTGTCCGTAGCTGTACAGTGTACTTCCGGTCACGAGGTGGTTCAACAGGTCAGACCAACGGGGGAGCCAGATGAAACCACTTCCGGCCCCGGTCGTTCTCCATGCCCCCGTTTTTCTTCCTTATTTCATTCCACGCGTGAGTTGCATTTTTCCTCTCTGTCGCGCCCACCTTGCCTCTCCATGCCTACAGATGTTCAAATCGATAATATATCGGTATTATTTATCAGATAGGGAAAATTAAAAAATAAACTATTATTACTGGAATACGTTATATTATTTTTGCGATTGAAACTCGTAGTCGAAATTGGAAAAATATTTTTTAATTTTATT